CATTTTGTAGTATATAAGCTCACTGTACAATCCTGCTAGAGCATCTGATTGCTCTAAAGCAGTCTTCTAACCATCAGTGCTATTGCAATCGTAACCTACTACTCTTTATCTAATCTCGCCCTCCTCGCTTATCACAACAAGCTGTGATCCATCGGCGAGGGCGACATCTATAGCTCCCGAGGCTGGCATATGTTTGATCTTCACCGGTTCCTCCGCGGCGTAGTCAGTTGTGGCCTCCACCTCGTTCAGGTCGAGCAAGAAAGTGAATGCTATGCCTTCATCGCCTACCCGGGTGCTCCATGTGACCATTTCATGCTCTGCGTTATAGAGCGATGTGAGTTTGAAAGAGAAGGAGGACATTGTCGAGTGCAATGGCGGGGGAGGTTGGTTGAATTGGGAGGCAGCGTCGAGAAAGGTGAGTTATCCTCAATATCCAAGGAGTCTTTTATAGCCACAGCATATCCGGTAGTTGGCTTGTTATTGGGGCCACAGTGACTCGGGTTCAACTCAGCCGCGTGTTCAGTTGCCACTGTGAGTCACCTGAAACAGGTTGATATCACCATTTTCGAGTTTCTAGTATCAAGTTCGGAGGCTGTTTATGTTGGTCGATATCACCTAGAAATATCAATCGCACCTTCTTCCCCGTCGAAGCGGCCCAGTCTAAGTCGAAGGCAAAGAGAGCGCACTCCTCGATAAATCCCGCTGCCAGTTTCATTGGCAAAGAGAATTATTTTGGAGATTCTGTAGAAAGAAACGGTGTATACGTATGCGACGGTAACTGTGTGGCGTTTGTGCGTGCAGGTCGCCACCAAAATGATTCGCGCTGGGCGCGTAATACAAACGATCGAACTCAACCAACGAACCATCTACGTTGATTTGACTCGCGAAATCTACAAGGGACTATCGATGTATGGCCGGCGTCTCGCACCACAAAATGCCAATCGAAATGAGTCAGAATAATAGCGGCCGAGTGCTGTAGAGACTAATATGTACATGACATGTGCCCAGTTCCGTGGCCACTCAAAACTCCTCGTTAATACAGGAGTCAACTCGGCAGGACTCCATTCGGAGATAGCCTGAGGGAGTTCGTGTCATACCCAATGGTAAGATTGCGACAGCGCGTGTGGGTGTGGCACGCGTGGCCACATATTTTGGACTTTTCGATAAGCGCATAAATCAAAAATTCAAAGTTGGATCAACCTCCTTGGACTGTGAGTGTATGCCCCATTCTGACAGCCCACAATTCAGACTGGAATGAGATGGTATGGAAATCAACCCCGCAATAAATGCCGAGGGCTGTGATATTGTTAGTCACGGCGTGTTTGCCCCTCGATCAAGTCCTCATTGCCACCGACATCATAGTATCTGGCTAAGCATCGGTGGAACAAGTCTCTAAGGGTAGGGTCGTGTGTGGTGGGAGTTCCGGAAGGGAAGCGTGCATAGGAGCTTACATAGCGTCCCGGAAATTAGGCGATCTACTCGACTCGAGAGCGAACTCTATCATTGCCGAACATCATCAAAATAAGATAGACGAGGGCCCTATTTCTTCAGGAAGATCCTGAACTCGAGGGATTGCACCACAAATAAACACAAAAGACTGTGGTGGATGCTCAGTAGATCTACATGGATGGAAGAAAAACTCATTCTTCTCCTTTTAGGATGCCGGGAGGACTCGAACCTCCGCGCTCGTCGTACACAGCTTTGCTGAAACGAGGGTGCCTCGCGCCGCGGGTCTAGTACAAAATGAGGGAACTTGAATCAGTCGATAGAAAAGAAATGTGCATAAGTTAACAGTTGCGGGACCGCCGAATAAAGAAGTTGCGCGGCGGCGAGTCGCTGGCGACGTGGCCAGTCGCATGAAGCGTGTGTCGTATATCCGCACAGTGGAGCGCTGCCGGGTCTGGAACATGTTGACTTGGAGCGGGGACGACGAGCAGAGATACCGGAGACTCGAGACGGATGGCACAGTGTTCGCCCTTACGGCCTTAAATCGGGTTCCCAGGGCTCTTAAGGCCTTAATAAGGGCTAAGGCCTTAAATTTAAGGGCATTTTAAGCCCTTAAGAGTATTTTCTCACGCATTTTGGCGCAGGTCAAAAGTTCGTGGTTGGTCTTCTTCTCGGGCTCCTTTGAGATTTGGTTGTAGACTGCTTAAGCTCGTGGCAAGCTGCTCTGTCCATGTCGAAGCGAGTGGGCATACGACCCCTACCTTACAATCACAATACAATGCCAAGTCGGGAAAAAATCGGCAGGCACGTAATTTTCTCACCCTTGAAACTCGAAAGGGTAAGCTTTCTGAGGGCCCGAGCTGAGGGACACACCAAGGTAGCCGATGACAAGTTGAATTCGATTATATACCCGAAAGACAACTAATAGCCGATAATTTAAGCCCTCTTTAAGGGCTTAAAGCCTGGCCAAAAAATCCTTAAGGCCTTAATTAAGGCCTCTTTAAGGGCTTAAACATTTAAGGCCTTAGCCCTTTGGGCGAACACTGGGATGGCAAGAAGGCGGAGCGGAAAGGGCCGGGTCATCATGATGCGGCTGATTAGGATCGACCAATCGTGGCTCTCAGATCACCCGGCCATCAAACTATCGTCATTGTCCCGAACTCTCGTGTCCTTCTGTGCTTCTGCCTGAGTCCCTCCTCGGTCGAGTGCTTTCCTCGCGCATCCTGGTATCTAGACCTATGACTTCTGGTGGCATCCTGCCTTGCAGTCTACCCTTGGGCCGGGCTTGATGGTTCCTTGGTTTCCTCTCAGTTTCCTCGGAGTCTCAGCACTCTAGCGTACAGTTTTGGCTCCGCTATCCTCTCGTCGCTACTCAATCATGCTTCTACGCCACGTCTATCTGTAAGTAGGTCCGATCGAAATTCTCCGACCCCGGTATTACTTCTGCCGCAAGGCCCCTAACCGGACGTCGTACACCAAGTTGATACTCAACGGCGATATTCCACCAGGCTTCGCTCCCAAAGTTGGCACTCGACGATCTTGTCGGAGTTGATCTCAGCGTCAACCATCGAGCACTCAAAAAGGAGGCTGGATCCATGCGAACCTGCATCGTTTGGGAAGAAATCCACTGTGAGTAAAATCAGCCACTCGATCTGCATCAAGGCTTTCTTACGCCGATCCGATGGCGGAGAGCCGCATCTGCACTTCTTGGGTTGTCAATTTTAGCTCACGCAGAAGACGCCCGTTCGATTCGGGGTCGGATCATATGTGTTAACGAACTCCCTATTTTTTTATCAACATACCCAGACAGCTGTAGGATTCCATCGAGGTGTACCTTGTTCGGCGGAACACGCCTTGGACTCGCCATGTCCTAATATTCCCTCGTACTCCGTCTCGATCCACCCCTTTTACTGTAAGAGCGGATGGTGAAGACCTCATATGCGTCAGATTCGGCGACAGCGGACTACTCCCCGTTTAGCTCCTGGATAGATAAGATACTCATTGTCACTTTCCTGCTTTATTCTAGCGTTCAACTCTGATCTCTCCTTCGTAAGTAGCAAAGCTTGGCTATGCTTTCAAAAACCTTCCCCTCAACTATGGCGAGGGTACTACCTCTCTTCAAGTGACTCGTCCGCCTCATCATCCCTACTTCAGCCGCTATTACTCATCTGCATGCTGATCGACGCAATTAACAATCCCTGGGGACTACGCCCCGTTCCCCTCGGCGTCGGTTCATGGGTCGGAAACTCTGCGGTTTTCACCTATAGGACAACTGGATCCGATTCCCCTTCAATGCTCACGCGTCCTCGCTGAAAATTCCGCTCCAGCAGCCCTTACAGAGACCCGCGTGCATCCCCACTCTTACTGTGTACAGCTTTCACACTTGTTGGCAGCGGATGATCCCATTCGAATCGGGGTCGGGATTTTAAATTAATTCTAAGGGAGCCCGTCAAGCTAGACAAAATAAAAAGATAATCATCTGTAGGACCCGACCCCGAATGGAACGGGGGTCTTCTGCACGCAAATCAAAGCACAATGTAGATTGCAGACGCAGCCTTCCGCCTTGGAGTCTGTCCGATGATAACCGTAAGTGGGATACCAGAGGAATTTTAAGAACTGGGTTGATTTAACTCAGTGCGGAGCGCGGCCGCTGAGGATCTAGATGAGCAAGGTATTTTTTCCATTCAAAGAATGACGCCAGGCGGCTGAGCACCAGCGGTACCTATGGTTCCGAATAACAAGGAAAGATGCGGACAAAAGGAAAGTACACAATTCGTGGATGAGTGACCCGACCCCGAGTCAAACGGGGGAATTCTGCTTTAACTGAATAAGGAGCGCTCATTGTGCGCAGATGCGGCCGTCCGCTATCGGGTCGTCAATAGATTGCAAGAGCAGTTGTTGAATTTACCCACAATTCGAGGAGAGGCCGAATATGCAAAATTCACAAATTTGCGGTCGGCTCTACTCCAATAGTGTAAGGGTGAGACTAGTATCCAACTCCTGTTAAAGAATGAAGGCACTGCTGCAAAATCCAAAGAGGCAGTGAGAAATATTGGCAGCAATAATCTTCGGCGGATGTAACTCATCGGAAGAAGAAAAAAGAGACGAGCACCGACATAGGCCGTCGGGAGGACTCGAACCTCCACGCTCCTCGTGAATTTTCGCGGCCCCGATGGTCTATCTTTCGAGGGGACCTACCACCGGTCAGCGACGGCTTTGTTGCTATGCGTATATGTTGCAGTGAATGCGAAGATGGATGGATACTTGTTGTCAGTGTTTGAAAGCGGCGTCCGCGGTTTGTCAGCGAGGGAGACAGACTCCAATTGGGAGACGTAAGCATCGTAAAGGTGTGCAAGCGAGTCCTACCACGGATAGTTGCGCTGCGCGCAATTGAGTTTTCAGAAATCAAAATGTATTATTCGGTTTATGGGCCCACCTACGCATCCGTCATTTTAGTTGCCCTCTTTCCAGAACACGGTAAAATATCAGATTGTTCGTCCTATATATTTAAAATCACTCACCTCGGGAGTAAAAAAACAACCACTCGCAACGTATGCCATCGGGAGGAATCGAACCTCCGTAGCGCTCGTACCCTGTCATTTACTCCACCAGAACACAACGAGAGGGGCCTACCACTGGCCAATGACGGCATTCCGAGTAGGATGGGTGCACCTGTACGAAGGTAGACTTCACCGCGTGAATGCAAATCGCTTACGCTTACGTACGCGCGGCGAGCCCGAGAAGAGAGAGGAAGAGAATTGGCGAGGCGAAACGAGCTGAATCGCCGCTAGTCGATTAGCGGAGATGGCGGTTATGCCAGGAAGCCCCTCCGCGTATATGTACGCGGCCGCGCATCGTTTTCAAATTCCGAGGGGGACTTGAACTCGCCAGGGATGGTGCAGAAGGGGCGGTGGAGGTAGAGATGGTTAGATCGGAAAGGTACACGGCGCACGCGCGAGAGGCGTCGTGTGAGGCGTAAGATATCGTATATCGAAATCGAATGTACGGGATAAGAATGGGGCGTGCAGAGGCCATTGAAGGCGCGATTCGGCGGGCAGGAAGCGCGGGTAGAACACTGACACGTCCGACAGTTTTGAGAAGCCAGACTCGATGAGCAGAGACAGACCGCTGGAGTGGTGTGCTCTTCAGTGAGTGGCAGTTGGCAGGTGAGCGGATCTCGGCGGTTTCAGCGAACGGGTTTCTCGCAGTTGGATACTGAATTCCAGATGAAAGCGGAGGATCGCTCGCCAGCGGAAGTGAGAATCGTGATGCGATCGACCAATCAGCTTCTTCGGATCAAACCGCCATCACCTGTCCCGAACTCTCAATGTCATCTCGCGCGCCCGTCTTCTACTAGACTTCTAGTACTACTCTGTCTCAGTGTCTGTCGTTTCAAGTCCTTGCTCCCAAATTCCTCAAATACACTGGCATCCCGGCTAGTAATCCGCCCCTGCACGGGCTGGATGGATCTCCCGCGGGAACCGGTCGGCTTTCTCTTCTTGATTTCTTCTCAGGTTCTTCTAGCTCTCTCTCTCTCTCCAAGGTGTAGCTGAACACTCCGACTACCTATAGCATCTGACTCATTATCTCTTTGGACTCTGTGGCCTCTCTTAGGCTTTACCACGTCTACAATGTCCAGGCTGTAGCTCTGCTGTCAGATAACTCTCCTTCATCTGCGCTGCAAGTATTGCATCCAATAAGGCCTTTCGGCCCAATTGCAAGGCAAGTCGTTCAAAGCATCCTATCCGATATTACTCTAACCTGCTTATGCTCACCATTCTAGCTCGCGCTGGCTTGGATACAGCACTAGTAGCTGCCTTGCCCCGGCATTGCTAGCCCGCGAACCTAGTGCATTCGGTGAAGAATTGTCCATTGTGTTTGAATTTCCACACACGAAATATATCGGGCCTCGCTAGCGGACGCCCGCATCTTTGCTCCATGGTGGGCTCCAATATCACGCAGAAGATCCCCATTCGAATCGGGGTGGGGTCATTAGTTGGAAGTGACTTTTTTTTGGTCCTCAGTCCTCCTCGAGACTTTGCGCCCTGGACGTTCCTATTCAATCCAGTATCTCTAGCGAGGTGGGTGTCCTCGTTATACCAACTTTTCAGCGGCATCCTTATTCCTATTTGTTGTCCCATATTTTAGGTAACCTTACTCTTCCTACAGAATAACGTCGCTCACATTCCCCTCTCGACACACCCTTCACAAGACCTGGTGGTGCGCACCTCTTCCGACCCACGTTGGCGTATTTCCAACACGATAATAGCGGAAGACCCCCGTTCGACTCGGGGGCGGGTCATAACCAGTACCGACGAAGGTTTTTGTCCAACGGAAGTTCCTGCTTGACCTCCAAGGTAATATTCAACGACTCTTTTCAACGGATGAGTGGTGCTCCGCGCCTGATACTCTCTACTCTTGGAATACGGTACGCCCTTCCTCAAACAAAAGTTTATATTCAGTGACAGTCGGAGATATCAACTGAACCGGAAGTTGGATTCCTGCGACAGCATTTGGTCCGACGGAGGAAATCAAATTATCTCGGCATCATTCCGTTCGCAACACACGCAACTGACCCACCATATCTCCTCTGACTGCATCCCATCTCCTCAAAGTATTACCTTCAAGATGTCCTGTCGGCCTCAGGTGTCAATGTAAGCTTCGTTCTCGACACCATCATTTGTTCCCTAAATTCTTGATGACAATTTCCACCTGAAGTTGGGTTGGCCCTTGTGCCAAGATTATATTCCCGACCGTAGGCGAAAGCCCGCGCACGCTAAGATGGTCGACTAGGACTGAAACTGTTGTTATTCTCGAGGCACCACAATCTGCAGACGCTCTTCCAATGATTATCTCAATTGGAAGCGAGCGGCCTCCCTTTCTGCGTCGCCTTCGTGATTTAGCTGGTGAGCCATCATTTCATATCAACCGTGCCCAAAGAACACCTCTCGTATTCCCGCACCATGCCTCGAGAAGATCCGACGGTGAGGAGCGCATCCGCACCCTGTGCACGGTGCTCCTCTCTACGCAGTAGTGGAATGTCCCTGTTCGACTCGGGGTCGGGTCATGGTCGGGCAGGTAAATTTTTCATATATATTTTTCCCACTGATCTTGCTGTAAGGATTTTTCGCAGGCAAATATCGAAATCAATTCGGGCTCGGATACATTGTCGTTGTCTCCCAGTCTCAAAGAAGCGCGATCACTCCCCAGGTTCGATGTATGTATGATGTACCAGCAGAAACTGGGTGATGTCTTTAACTCTTACGCGGGTATCCGATCCGATGTTTTGTAATTCAATTCCTGGGAGACACTTCCAATGAAAATGTCCGTTCAACGCCATTCTGGGTCATCCAAGCCCCGAATATTCGCGCACGGCGGGACACTTTAGAGCCGCACGATGTGTTCCCGAAATCGGCGTTGTTACGGGCCTATGCGCTTGTTGGATTCCCGCCCTTCCTCGTTATTCTGATTGCTTGATCATGCCATGTGCCTCACTGCACTTCGAGTGATTTGACTGAATGCGCAATTGTATGTACACGTTCTAGCTTTGCCTCCACCATTCTTGCATTGATGGAAGCGAGTTAGAAGTCGGAGAATAAACCGAGTTCACTGGATTGAAGAAGGAGTAAGTACGACGATAGAAGGACTGAAGAGGGAGGACATAAAAACAACGGAAGGATTTACACATCCAGGAGCCGATCCCGAGTTTTACGACGGATGTAAGATGATCCCGCCTGCGATTGCTGCGTATCGGACACTGTACAATTATTACTTCCCATTTCAACCGAAACCGGTCGGCTGCCTGCATTCTTCAACAGAACTCTCCGCGTCACGTAGAATGATTCCCGCAGATACTTTGTATCGGCCGTCCATTCACCGAGACCCGCTAGCATATGGACGCATCTGGACTTCGTTGTTCTGTTCGTTCTCCCGAAGTCACGCAGAGGATCCCCGTTCGACTCGGGGGCGGGTCATCATACGGCGCTACCTTTGTTTTGCTGTGGGTCTCCTCACGTCCTTCATCCCCACGTCCTTTGAGAATTATCATCTCGAAGGAAGGTGGGTTCCCCTCCTTCCATCGGATTTGTGCACCGTCGGCTGAGGCCTCCTTTCAACTCATCCTTCCTCGATGCCCTCAAAATGCCTCTTATATTCCCGACCACCCTCGAGGAGATCCGGGCCCGGTGGTGAGGACCTCATCCGCGTTCTGTTGACAGATTCCCGAATGCCCCCGTTCGACCCGGGGTCGGGCCATACTCTTCTGCAAGTCTCTTTTTTATTTCATCTTTGCTGCCTCCTGCGGTTGGATGACTTGCGATGTGAGTCCCTTTCCAATTCCTTTAGTGAATAGGGAGCCTGCGGCTTAATTTGACTCAACACGGGGAAACTCACCAGGTCCAGACATAACTAGGATTGACAGATTGATAGCTCTTTCATGATTTTATGGGTGGTGGTGCATGGCCGTTCTTAGTTGGTGGAGTGATTTGTCTGGTTAATTCCGATAACGAACGAGACCTTAACCTGCTAAATAGCCAGGCCGGCTTTCGCTGGTCGCCGGCTTCTTAGAGGGACTGTCAGCGTTTAGCTGACCTCGGGTTGCATGCGATATCTCTGCATAGGCTCAGGCTACATGTAGCTGAGCAGGACCCGATGGCGGAGGACCGCATCCGTGATTTTATGGCAATGATGTCGATCTATCTGCGGAGTATGGCACATATACTGTATAATAATTAAAAAACTCAACACCTTTACAGCTAACATCAGTACCGAAGGCGCGAAGCGAAAATTTCTTGTTTTGGGATGTTTTCAAAGAATTGTTCGTAACTCAACGAGTTCTGCACCGATTTGGATGAAACCTAGGTGAATCTGTTGGGCTAATTCATGCTCAATTAGTGATAGAAAAGAATCTGTGAAAATATTATGTATTGAGTAATCTGTGGTTCTGGGCTGTTTGTGAGCTGAATACTGTCCAGCATGCCCGGAACATGTCCCATTGATGTAGTATTCTGGGACAGACAAAGCATATGCATGTATAAAATTGTGAGAGGGCCAGAATTATATAAAATCAATAGATCGATGCAATCCATACAATATTTCCGAATGCAAAAAGCTGCCAAATTTCTCCAATGCAGATATGGGAGTATGACCAGATTATCCGTCATTCTGGCTCTATGACATATTTTTCCAATCATATATCTCGTCTGCCCCAAAATATTAGGTCACTGGGACATGCTCTGGGCATGCTAGACAGCATTCAGCCCGAAACCTGCCCAGAACCACAGATTACTCAACACATAATATTTTCACAAATTCCTTTATATCACTAATTGTGCATGAATTAGCCCAACAGATTCAGGTAGGTTTCATCCAAATCGGTGAAGAACTCGTTGAGTTACGAACAATTCTTTGAAAACATCCCAAAACAAGAAATTTTCGTTCGCGCCTTCGGTACCGACGTTAGCTGTAAAGAAACCGTTAGAAATGACACTACTTAGACAAAAGGTTGGACAAAACACACAGGTCGAGACTGTGTTTCAAAAAAAAAAAAAATGGCACAGCTAGTATTTGAGTGCAGAAAAACACACAACTAGAACTTAGGCACTATAAGCACACCACTCATCCACTGCACATCCACACACCATTACCCTCT